TTGGATGACAGAGGAGATGAGGAGGATGATGATGATAGGGGAGCTTGGCATCAAACTCGTCCGGGAGAGGATGGTGTCTTCTTGCTTGGAGCAAACCAGTCAAGCACTGAACAACCGGAACCTATGGACATCAGCACACCCTCGTCCTTGTCTAATGGCGAGGAAGAGATGGAGGACAGCCAGTTATCCAGTTTCCTCTTTTCCAAAGATGAAATAACTGCGGAAGCCACCGCCACCAGCCCTCTCTTATCCTCATCATCCGGATACTCGTCGGTGAGAATCGCTCTTTTATTTAAAGTAAAAATAAAGCCCTTCGTTTGCTCCTGAAAGTGCACGAGGTAGCGAGAGGAGAGATTACTATGTTTATTATTTTTTAGGGCTAAACTCTTCTGTAGGAAATCCTCTCAAACCCTGTGATCACCCTTACTGATTGTGGCGAAGCTTGCCACGTTCTATCAAAAGTGGTCGCAAATTTGTTTGATTGAATAGTGTATCCCGCTAGTTGAATGAAATGAAAATGAATGGATTCCTGTATAAAAATGTCTGGGTGTGAACACAAGGGGAAGATGACGACTCACTTTAAGAAGCCTGCCTACTGGGATTTGCTCATTTAAAAGTTCTCTCTTATAAAAAAAAAGAACAGTAATGTCGGTATTTTATGCGGGTTTGAAGTGCTTTTTAACTTTTCGCATAAAAAAGAAACCCACAGCGTTTCGGGTTTACTAATTGGTCCTCGCGTGCACTGAAGACAGCATATTCTTCTCTAAAAATAAAAGTCTACTTATACGTACTCAGGAAAGTCAAAATTGTGACTATCTAGATGCCACATCCCCCTTTGACACTTGATCAGTCCTGGGTGCTCACATCTCGGATCTGATAGAAGCCGTTGTTGGTGGTGTTTTTGGCCAAGAAGTTTCTCCTCTCGGTGATATTGTCCTCGGCCAGTCCAACCAGAACTTGAGAACCCAAAAAACAGACCAAACCTTATGTCTGGACAATATGGCGGAGAGGTGGCTTGCTGTAGCGTTCTTATCATGTAAGGTAAACCTCTTCTGCTCCTAAAACACACCTAATTGGGGGGGGGTTTCTTGGCTGTGCTGCTCGACGTCAGTGAGACCATTTCGTACTACTGATCT